TGGGATCGTTGTGTTCACTCCCAGGGGAACTACTTCGAGGGTGATGGATGAATTTAATACCTGAGATAAGTGTACGGGTTTTTATAGGCGCAGTCTAGAAACTTTCCGATCGCACCTCGTATATACTGACCAGAATTCTGAACATGAGATGTAAAAAACACTACTGTCAATTTCAGTCAAGGGGCTTCATCTCTGACCTGGTACTTGGCTTTGTTATGGATTTAAAGAGGTCGTGGTCGTAGCAGCAGTACTAGAAGAAGCAGCAGCAGTAGTAGTAATGGTAGTAGTGGTAGTGGCCGACATAGCAGCAGCAATAGCAGCACTTTCTGAAGCCTGCTTCTCCATTTCTGCAAGTATTCGGTGCCTACGTATATTAGAGAGTACTCCATCCAAACTAGTGGTTTTCTTCTTGGCACTTCCTTTAGGGCCCCCTTCGCCTGTTCTTCTTGGTGTGAATTTTGGTGTCGACATTTCATCCATAAAATCAAAATCCGACTTCTCTTGCGGTCTGTAACACGAAGGCATGTGAATATGAACACCAGAGAAAGTGTAAAAGAAATAATATCGACATGTCATAGGTTTGTATAATTTTGTTGACCTATAGAGATGCAAATAGTGAGTACAGAGCCTCTTGAAACTGTACCCTGGTCCCCCATTCCTGAACAAAATGACAACACATTTAGAACCTTACAATACTAACACCTACTGAAATCTTTGTCAAATTATTGTTGGTGACTGATTAGAACGCTGGCCTTGTAATCCTGGGGAGCCCGAATTTATAACTTGTGTTGGGCAAGGCCGTGGTCTAGGCAACACGGAGTTTTCCTCCGGGGGCTTACCCGGTTTTTCCGTGGCATGCTAACAATTACTCCATTCTCACAGAAAAGAAGGCAATGGCAAACCACTTCTGGATCATCTGCCAAGAACGTATATGAACAGGTCCCAGTCCGAGAAAAGGATGGAAGGATCCTGTTCATATGGACCTGTCGTCAGACAGAACACTAAAAAAATAAAATAAAAATACCAAAACCAAGTACTGCACATTACTGAAATATCTGACACGTAAATGAAACACACTGTAAAAGGAAACATATCGTTTGGTTTCATACTCTTACTTGGACTCTAAACATTCCTCATCCTTCTGACAGAAGTCATCCTGTGCGGGAGAAGGGACACGCCGACCAGGGCACTGCCATTCCAAATCTATGATACCTTCCTTGTCCAGCAACTCATATAATGCAACTATATCTGTAGCTGATGGCTCCCACACATCCTAAAAATAAAACCTTTATTGTGTTACATTTCTTCTTCTTGTATGGCGCAAAAGCCCGAAGTCGACCCTTGGCCTCCTCCCATGTGGGAGGTTTCTATGTCTTTGAAGTGTGCATTTATTAGTGAGTGACAAGCCCACTGCCTCTGTACAATTTCTACTCAATCCTGATTTATCTGCTAGAGCCATCTAGCAGTGATTCAGGAGAGACTTGGGTGAGAAATGGCCACTGAATTTTACTTATGGAACATCTCATTCATGCTCGTAAGGTTCTTTTACATGTCATAAATCTATGACATGGAATCGTTGGCTTTACTTCCCCTCTGAAGAAAGCTGTACTACAGATTTTTATCACCCTTAAAAATCCATCGACCTTGGCCGGATTTGAACCCGCGAACCTAAGGTCCAGTGGCAAACACACTACACTAACCACTAGTCAATCGAGGGCAACATTAATATATATACTCAGTTTAAAACAAACTTGAAGAATGCATTCCCTTAGCAATCTTTACTTTCTTATATCCTACACGTGGGTAATGTTTGCAAATACAGTTGCCATTTGAAGATGATCTATTTACTTTCTTCGTTATTAAAGAAGATAGTAACAATGTTATGATAAAAAAACACTAATAAATGCAGGTGGCAAAATAACAACTGTCTTAAGTTCCACAGAAGGTGGAGAATTTCTGTATAGCCAAAAGAATTAGATTCTTAAGAAGGCCCCTGAATTCAACATTATGGCCAACTGGTTAACTCTCCTGCTTCATATTTGTGAGGTACCAGGTTCAAATTTTGGCACATCATGACCGAAGCTGTTATGGTTTTCTTCAAGTCCTCCAGGAAAATGCCATACCTTTCATTGGGCAAAGACAGTTTCCTACCAAGTCTTTTACAATTCATTATTAATTGGTCATTATATAATTTAATGCTATACAATCTGATTCTCGGTCAGATTGTATAGCATTGAATTATAGACTAGATACTTTTGTGCTGGTAAAAACGTTTTAAAATATCACTGGTACTTATCTTATATAAGAATTATTAAGAAATCTATTGTTGCATTAATTTGTTGTGTCATAATATGTACAAGATGGATGACATTGAAGCTAAAAGACTCCATAACGCAGAATATGAGAGACAGTACAGAAAACGTAAAAAAATAGAAGTATTAAATAATGAACTCCAGAGTGTATGGTCAATGGTGAAAAATTTTTAATTGTAACCCTGTATATTTGTAATCACGAACCTATTGATGATTGTAAGAGACTTATTTTGAGTCATTTGAGAAATTATACAAAGATGTTTTCAGTTATGGACACAGAAAATCCTAATACAATGCCGATAATAATGACAGGAAATTTTAACATTGTTTTAAAGAAGGAGGAAAAGCAAAGCTTTCTCATATTTATGGAGAAAACGTTTGGCTTAATGTTGATGTCAAATCCTCAATGTAGTACTACTAGATCAAAATCTTTTATAGATATTGTGTTTGCACGATATGTTGATAGTCTAAAATGTACAAATTTTATAACATATTTCACCTACCACAGACCCATCTTAAGCATAACTAATTCAAGGTAGGCAGTACTGTCTTACTCAAACTTTAATCAGTTGTAAAGCGGGTATAAAGAAAATATTTAGAATAAAGTCACTATATAAACTCCTTACCGTATAGACGTATTTACGTCAAATTCTCCGGAACCGTGGTTCCACTGTCACTTTTTTAAAGGTTACATAGACCTGGTATACTTTACTTATGTAAGGTTAGGGTGCACATTACAAAGTGGACACCTGTTCCACATCCTGTTTACTAGGATCTATAACATGCATATATCTGTCTTCACTTGCTTTATTACTAATACTAACCTCTTCCGAGAACCTACACAGAACGCACAAAAATTAACACTAACCTTTCCTTCAACACCATAATTTTCATCATCTGAGCAAGGAAGATTCCATTCGTCTTGTTTGCCGGATAATTCAACCATTTCCGAACTTACGTACAACAGAGTTCGATTAACGCAAACATTAGACATCGATGAACGTCCGTAAAAACAAATAATCCGGGAAAATTAATACAATATTGTACTTGCTTCCCCGACATAATGTAACGTTGAAAGCAAAGATATTCATTCGTATGTTGGCGGTACTGCCCACAAATTATACCATTACTGAACACCAACGTTTGCAAACTTTACCACAGAAATATATTAACACGTCTTTTTCCGTAGAGTTTACGGTGGAAACCATGGAATTACTTTCAATAAATTACAAGAAACACTGTACAAAAATTATTTGAAACTGCAAGCAACTATTTGTTTTCGTAGTTTGTAGCTGCACTCAAGGCGACACGTCACACTGCTATGAGTCCTGTTTCCACTGGTCAACAGAAGTCTCTAAATGACTTCCCGGATGAAATGCTCCTAGAAATTTTATCCTATTTTGGACCAGAGGACTTATGCCTCATAATTTCCAAAGTGTGTGAGCGGTGGAATGCTCTGACAAGAGACAGAACACTCTGGAAATCACTTTCCCTTAAATGTAATTATGATTCTGAATTCATGAGGGTTGTACAGGTAAGCCAAAATCAGCTTTTTTAAAGTCTTGCTATTTGGTGTATAAAGTGATTCATAATTTCCTTGTCTATCCTAAACTGAAGTTACGGATTGGATGCATGGATCTGATTCCCAGTATGGACAGAAGCATGTTGCTTTAAGTTGTCATTAATACAAGCAAAGTGACTCTTCTCAGTAAACTATTCATAGAACCCAATCCCACTGTAATTATGACTTGATACTTGCAGAAGTTTAGGTAACAGTCATATGCACATAATACATGCTCTTCCTCCGACCATTCTTTATTTTTTATATATGCTTGGATGCGCTACAAAAAGCTAATGTGACCAACATAGATGAAGGCAGATGGTGTTCTGCTTTACGCTTTAAGTAATTGAATACTTTATACACCTACTCTTTGAATCTTATTGGCTCACAAGGGCATGTGACAGTTGATGTGCAGAAGCATCAAAAAGTCAGAAACATACAAAGAACTCGTTCGAAAAGTAAGAGTCCTTCATTGGATACACTTTTTGTGAAGTTTTGTTTGTCCTTACAGGTGTGTACAATTAAGAAATCTGTCACTCTGTTGGTGCTGGGAGGTAACAGATGCCGGCATCATGATTCTAGTCACTCATTGCAGTGAGCTGCGTGTGTTGGATCTTCTGGGTGTAATACACATTACAGGTATGTGTGCGTTACCAATTTGATGATCCCTCAAATCAGTGCTTAGCACTCCACTTCAAAGCAGCATTGGTCAACATTCAAGCGTCTTCCACTAAATAACCTAACGATTCTTTCTGCACCTAGTCTGCTGGAATGTACTGTGGCTGGTATGAGCTCGTGATTGCGTGATTAAGAGGTCATACTGCCTTTGTCATCAGGCCGTGGTTGCGTTGTCTGTGCCTGCATTATGAACTTCAACGTTGCATGGGTATTACAGTGGACATTAAGCCGAGTAACTCAATTTAGATAATACACCAACTCATGCACAATTAAATGTTCAGTGTGGTATCACATAAAGTGCATCACATTTGAAATTCAAATGAAGAGCTGGCAATAACAGCAATGCATTTCTGTTCAAGCTGGGGCACGTTATGATGCACACTGGTGATGCCAGAGATCGTTACATTGTGATTACAATAACTTTCTCCAGCAGATGATCAGTTGCCCTCTACTGAGCAGTGCTTTATAACAAACCATTGTTTCACAAAATGTATGATTTTAATAGACTAATGAATTAATGTTTCTGCCATTGATGATGACCTCTTGAGGTCAAAACGTGTTTGGCACAAAGTGCTATTTAATGTGTAAACAGTTTTTGTTCATATGCATGATTTTTATACATGTACATTTAAGCATCTGCAGGAAAATAGGTATTTTATATTTGTCATAGAATTTCTTTTATTCGTGGCCAGATTACAGTGCTAATAAAATAATATCTGGCAGGTATTAACAGATGTCCCCGCACTGCATTCATTCAACATCTACGGACGTGAGGATGCAGCTCAACTTTTGGAATTTCTGTTTGATACCTGTGACTATCTCAATGAACTGATTCTCCAATTCTGCAATCTTGGTGAGGACAGCACTCGCCTCTTGACTGATATTGTAGCCTTCTACCCTGATCTGGAAGTGTTGGTACTCAAGGGTTGTAAGCCACTTACAGATGCTGGGTATTCGCTCATCCCACGCCTACAGAAACTCTCAGGACTGAACCTTTCACATTGTAAGGTAGATTGCTATGCATATCTTATCTTTGTACTCCATGTGTGACGTGCTTGAATTTATGTGAACTATTTCCCTGCCATGATCCTCTCTGCTAGTCTTTGGATGTTTATTTCCTAGTGCTGTTATTGTGTTATTTT